TAATGTATAGTGTATTATTAGTTTCAGGGGTAGAATTTAGTGATTCCCCAGTTCCATATAGCACTCAATGCTCATTATATCAAGTGCCCACCTTAATGACCATCACCCAATTATCCCATCCCCGCCTCCCCTTCAGCAGCCCTCAGTTTGTTTCCTGTAGTTAAGAGTCTCTTATGGTCTCTTATAGTCCCTCTGCTTTTCTTTTATTTTGTCTTTCCTTCCCTTCCCCTATGTTCATCTGTTTTGTTTCTTAAATTCCACATATGAGTGAAACCGTCTGGTATTTGTCTTTCTCTGACTTATTTTGCTTAGCATTATACCCTCTAGTTCCATCCATGTCATTGCAAATAGCAAGATTTCATTCTTTTTGATGGCTGCATAGTATTCCATTGTGTATATATACACCACACCTTCTTTACCCATTCATCTGTCAATGGACATCTGGGCTCTTTCCATATTTTGGCTATTGTGGACATAGCTGCTGTAAACATTGGGGTGCACGTGCCCCTTCAAATCACTACTTTTGTATCCTTTGGATAAATACCTTGAAGTGCAATGGCTGTGTCATAAGGTAGTTCTATTTTTAACTTTTTTTCACTAAGTTTTGAAAAATTTTTATTTCTTTACTTGAGAGAGAGCACGAGTATGGGGAAGAGCAGAGCAAGGACAAGCAGAATTTATGCTAAGCACAGAGCTTGACACAGGGCTCCATCCCACAACCCTGAGATCATGACCTGAGCCAAAACCAAGAGTTAGACACCTTAACTGACTGTGCCACCCAGGTGCCCCTATTTTTAACTTTTTGAGGAACCTCCATGCTGATTTCCAGAGTGGTTGCGCCAGTTTGCATTCCCACCAACAATGCAAGATGGTTCCCCTTTTTTTGCATCTTTGCAAACATCTGTCATTTCCTGACTTGTTAATTTTAGCCACTCTGACTGGTATAAGGTGGTATCTCATTTTTTTAAAGATTTTATTTATTTATTTGACAAATAGAGATCACAAGTAGACAGAGAGGCAGGCAGAGAGAGAGGAGGAAGAAGGCTCCCTGCTGAGCAGAGAGCCCAATGTGGGGCTCAATCCCAGGACCCTGGGATCATGACCTGAGCCAAAGGCAGAGGCTTTAACCCACTGAGGCACCCAGGCGCCCCTCATTGTGGTTTTGATTTGTATTTCCCTGATGTTAAGTGGTGTTGAACATTTTTTCATGTGTCTGTTGTCCATTTAGTTGTCTTCTTTGGAGAAACGTCTGTTCATGCCTTCTGTCCATCTCTTAATTGGATTATTTGTTTTTTGGGTGTTGAGTCTGGATACTTTATAGATTTTGGATACTAGCCCTTTATCTAATGTCATTTGCAAATATCTTCTCCTATTCTGTTGGTTGTCTTTTGGTTTTGTCGACTGTTTCTTTTGCTGTGCAAAAGCTTTTTATCTTGATGAAGTCCCAGTAGTTCATTTTTGCCTTTGTTTCCCTTGCCTTTGAAGATGTGCCTAGCAAGAAGTTGCTGTAGCCAAAGTCAAAGAGGTTGCTTCTCGTGTTCTCCTCTAGGATTTTGATGGATTCCTGTCTCCCATTGAGGTCTTTCATCCATTTTGAGTCTGTTTTTGTGTATGGTGTAAGAAAATGGTCCAGTTTCATTCTTCTGGATATGGCTCTCCAATTTTCCCTACACCATCTGTTGAAGAGACTCTTTTTTACATTGGACATTCTTTCCTGCTTTGTTGAAGATTAGTTGACCATAGAGTTGAGGGTCAATTTCTGGGCTCTTTATTCTGTCCCATTGATCTATGTGTCTGTTTTTTTGCCAGTACCATACTGTCTTGATGATCACAGTTTTGTAATAGAACTTGAAATCTGGAATTGTGATGCCACCAATTTTAATTTTCTTTTTCAACATTCCTTTGGCTATTTGGGGTCTTCTCTGGTTCCATACAAATTTTAGGATTACTTGTTCCAGCTCTGGGGGAAAAAATGATGATATTTTGATTAAAGATTGCATTGAATGTATAGATTGCTCTGAGTTGAACAATATTTGTTCATCCAATCCATGAACATGGAACATTTTTCCATTTCTTTGTGTCTTCCTCAATTTCTTTCATGAGTACTTTATAGTTTTCTGAGTACAGATCCTTTGCCTCTTTGGTTCAGTTTATTTCTAGGTATTTTATGGCTTTGGGTACAATTATAAATGGAATCGACTCCTTAATTTCTCTTTCTTCTGTCTCATTGTTGGTGTGTAGAAATGCAACTGATTTCTGTGCATTGATTTTATATCCTGACACTTTGCTGAATTCCTTTGAGTTCTGGCAATTTTGGGGTGGAGTCTTTTGGGGTTTCCACATAGAGGATCATGTCATCTGCAAAGAATGAAAGTTTGACTTCTTCCTTGCCAGTTCAGATGACTTTTACTTCTTTTTATTGTCTGATTGCTAAGGCTAGGACTTCTAGTACTATGTTGAACAGCAGTGGTGATAGTGGACATCCCTGCCATGTTCCTGACATTACAGGAAAAGCTCTCAGTTTTTCCCCATTGAGAATGATAATCACTTGGGGTTTTCATAGATGGCTTTTATGATATTGAGGTATGTACCCTCTGTCCCTACACTGTGAAGAGTTTTAATCAAGAAAGTATGCTGTACTTTGCCAAATGCTTCTGCATCTATTGAGAGGATCTATAGTTCTTATCCTTTCTTTTATATGTAGTATATCACATTGATATATGTAGTATATCACATTGACTGATTTGTGGACGTTGAACCACCCTTGCAGCCCAGAAATAAATCCCACTTGGTTGTGGTGAATCATCCTTTTAATGTACTCCTGGATCCTATTGGCTAGTATTTTGGTGAGAATTTTTGCATCCATGTTATTTAGGGATATTGGTCTGTAATTATTTTTTTTTGGTGGGGTCTTTGTCTGGTTTTGGGGACAGGTAATGCTGGCCTCATAGAAAGAGTTTGGAAGTTTTCCTTCCATTTTGATTTTTTAAAATGGCTTCAGAAGAATAGGTAGTAATTCTTCTTTAAATGTTTGGTAGAATTACCCTGGGAAGCCATCTGGCCATGGTCTTTTGTTTGTTGGGAGATTTTTAATGACTGCTTCAATCTCCTTACTGGTTATAGGTCTGTTCAAGTTTTCTGTTTCTTCCTTGTTCAGTTTTGGTATTTTATCTGTCTCTAGGAATGCATCCATTTCTTCCGATTGCCTGATTTGTTGGTGTATAGTTGCTCATAATATGTTCTTATAATTGTTTGTATTTCTTCAGTGTTAGTTGTGATCTCTCCTCTTTCATTCATGATTTTATTTATTTGGGGCCTTTCTCTTTTCTTTTTGATAAATCTGGCCAGGGGTTTATCAATCTTATTCTTTCCAAGAACAAGCTCCTAGTTTTGCCAATCTGTTCTGTTGTTCTTTTGGTTTCCGTTTTGTTGATTTCTGCTCTAATCTTTATTATTTATCTTCTCCTGCTGGGTTTAGGCTTTATTTGCTGTTCTTTCTCCAGGTCCTTTAGGTGTAGGGTTAGGTTGTGTATTTGAGACCTTTCTTGTTTCTTGAGAAATCTTGCAGTCCTCCATACTTCCCTTTCAGAACTGCCTTTGCTGCACCCAAAGATTTTGAACAGTTGTTTTCATTTTCATTAGTTTATATGAATTTTTAAGTAAAAAATAAATTAGTAAACATAAACCTCATTCACAATTCCTAAATCTAAGTGTTTTCTGTAGAGAAGTAAGTATGACAGTGCTCTGTTGTAATTACACCAAATCATGCTTCATAAAATTTTATTTCTGAATTATTATGGGTATACTGTCTGTTTCCCTTTTCCACTGTTTTTTTTTTCCCTCCACTTCGTCATTTTAATGTGTTGTATTCTTGTGAGTGCCCAATTTATTATTTTTTAAGTTTTGTTTCAGATAGTAATGGATGTTTTATTTTTTCTAATTGTGGTAAAATATACATAACATAAAATCTATCTTGTTAACCATTTTTAGTGTACAGTTCAGTGGTATTAAGTGTATTCAAGTTGTTGTGCCCACTCATCTCCAGAACTACTTTCATCTTTTAAAACTGAAACTCTGTACCCATTAAACAAAATATCTCCATTTCCCCCCATCCCAAACCCTGGCAACCACTACTCTACTTTCTACCTCCATGAATTTGACCACTTTTGTACCTCATATAGATGGAAACATAAAGTATTTTCTCTTTTCTGATGGGCTCATTTAATATACCTTGTCTTTAAGGTTCATTCACATTGTACCATTTGTCAGAATTTACTTCCCTTTTAAGGCTGAGTGATATTCTCTTATTTGTGTAGAACACAATTTGCTTATCTTTTCATCTCCCAATGGACACTTGGATAGCTTTCATCTTTAGCTATTGCAAATAATGCTGCTATGAATATGGGTGTACAAATAACTGTTTGAGTCTCTGCTTTCAAGTCTGTGAGGTATATACCCAGAAGAAGGATCACTGGATCAAATGGTAAATCTGTTTTTAATTTTTGGGGGAACCACCATATTGTTTTCTAGAGTGGCTACACTGTAAAATTTTACATTTCCACAAGCAATGCACAAGGATCTTGGTTTCTCCACGTCCTTACCAACACTTTTTATTTTCTCTTCTTATTGATAGTTATGTATAAAAAGGGGAGTATGAGGCTGGCGGGATCCTGTCATAATGGAATAGAATGGAGATATCAGTGTAAACTCAGGTAGATCATAACCCACTCTGACATCCTTCCAAAGAGTACAGTTTGGAAAGGGTAAAGAACAGTAACCTTATATTATAGAAACCTGGCAAACTGCACCTCAGCCAGTTGGTCAAGGTTAACATCATGATGAGGTCATCCATATAGGATATATCCTTGATACCCTCTGATGACAGTGGCACTTACCTCTGAGGTCTTCTCAAGGATCCATAACACCAGTCTAAGCATAACAAAAATATTTGACCAATCCCAATGGAAGAACATTCTACAAAATATTTGACCACTACTCCCTCAAAACTGTCAAGGCCATCAAAAACCAGGAAAGTCTCAGAAATCGTCACAGCCATAGGACTCAAAGTAACATAGATGAACTCTCAGAAAAGTATGAGATTAAAAAATAAGGAAGTCTGAATAAGGTGCGGACCTTACTTAATAATAATATACCAACGTGGGTTCAAGAATTATAACAAATGTACCAAACTAATATAAGATGCTAAAGGTAGGGGAAGTTGGGTGTGGGGTATATAGGAAGTATTTGTACTATATTTGCAGCTATTCTATAAATCTAACTATTCTAAAATAGTTTTTAAATTCCTCCTTTATATTTTATATACGATGCAGCTATTTGGGGTGTAAAAGTCTAGTTCTCATTCCTTTGTAGCTGACCAGCTCTTACTCTGGAAGCATTTTATAATGTTCTCTGTGTGTTTCCCATTCTTAAATTCATAGAGCGTAAATATAGGTGTGTTTCCATGTCTTTTCTCTCTGTCTGAGAGCCCTTTAAATATGAGGCCTTTATCCTCTCCTACTGCCTTCTGCGGGAGTTCCTCATGGATGTGTTCTTCTGTTGCATCCCTCCTACTATTTATTGCGTGTATTGTGTGCATTTGTTGACTAATGTTTTTTGTGCAGTATTGTAGTTAGTCTTTTTATGATTTCTTGTTTTTTTTATGTACTAACATCTTCCCTTATCATCTTAAATGTATTTATTATGCTCATTTAAAATTTTCAGTCCAGGGGCACCTGGGTGGCTCATTTGGTTAAGCATCTGCCTTTAGCTAAGGTCATGATCTCAGAGTGCTGAGATCGAGCCCCACGTTGGGCTTGCTGCTCAGTGGGGAGCCTGCTTATCCCTCCTCTGTGCCCCCTGCTTCTACTCTCTTTCTCTCAAATAAATGAATGAATCTTAAAAAAATAAAATCAAAATTTCAGTCCATCTGTTCTAATCATCCTACTTCAGATGGAATGTGTTGTTCACCTTGTTGTCTTTCTTTTACAGTAGTTGTAATTCCCAACATATTTCATTATTTTGGCTTTTGAGTTCATGATACTGTGTGTATATCAGCTACTCTGTCTGGAAATACATATTAAAGAAAGTGCTGTGGAGACAATTCTGTTTTAGTTCCCATACATGTAAGGAATAAAGAAGAGATAAACCCCAAGGGAGGAAGTCTCAGGTACCAGTATAGCTGACACAGCACAGTGTAGAATCATCCATCATTAAACAGAGAAGCAACATTGGAAGGATGCCACATCACTGATACTTCTTCAAAGCCTGGGTATCTTAAGGATTTGGGAAGGATAAAGGAATATTTTTACAAAGCAGGTCAGTCTGTACCTGTCATTATCAATTCATCTACCATGAAAGGCTTGGGTAGCACTAATATAATTCTGTAAACACTGCAACAGTGATCTGAACTTTTGCTACAGATTTCTGGGTAATGAGGATTGTGCATGGGGCATGGGCACCCAGAAAATGCAGTCCCCTAATCTTCCCTTTATATGCCTCCTTGTCCAGGCCTTTCCCACAGGGATCCAGTTGTCCATACCTGGTTGATGGCTGCATGTTGAGTAGCACATGTGAAGATACTCATGGTAAGGAAATGACAGAGCTAGCTGATCCTGAGACTGGAAGGAGACAGGGAAACCTAAGAGAAGAAAAAACAAAATTTAGAAACTGAAACCCTGAAGGAGATAAGAAAATAAGAGCTGATGTTTTGTGTTAGAATTAGTGAGCACTCATTCATTCATTCATTCATTCAAAATATCTGCTGCATCAAAAAGAATAAAATAACTAGGCATAAATTTAACCAAGGAAGTGAAAGACCTGTACACTGAAAACCATAAGCCACTGATGAAAGAAATCGATGAAGACACAAATAAATGGAAAGGTATTCCATGTTCATGGATTGGCATAATTAGTACTATTAAAATGTCCATGCTACCCAAAGCAATCTACAGGTTCAACACAATCCCCATCAAAATCCAAATGATGTTTTTCATGGAAATAGAAAAATTCATCTTAAAAATTCATGTAGACTCTAAAGGGACACAGAATAGCTAAAACAATCCTGAAAAAAGAATAAACCTGGAAGACTCACACTGTCTGATTTCAAAACTTACTAGAAAGCTACAGAAATCAAAGCAATGCAGTGGGCATTGCTTTGTGGGCATGAAGACAGTCATATAGACTAACAAAGTAGAACAGAGATCCTAGAAGTAAACCCTCACATTTATGGTGAAATGATTTTTGAGAAGGGTGCCAAGACCATTCAATGGGGAAAGTACAATCTTTTTAACAAATTTGTCTGGAAAAACAAGATATCTATACACAAAAGAATGAAGTTGGACACTTACCTAACACTGTATGCAACAATTTCTCAAAATAGACCAAAAATCTAAATGTAAGACCTAAAACAGTAAAACTCTTAGAAGAAAACATAGGGCAAAAGTGTTGTGACCACTTGGATTGGGCAGTCATTTCGTGGATATGACGCCAAAGACACAGGTAACAAAAGAAAAAAACAGACAAATCAGACTTCACAAAAATTTTAAAATTTTGTACATCAAAAAGACACAATCTACAGAATAAAAAGGGAACTGAATGGGGAAAAGTATATGTAAACCACATACCTGGTAAGTGGTTAATATCCACAATATAGAGACAACTCCTAAAACTCAAAAATAGCAAAAAGCAAACAAGCCAATTCAAAAATGGACAAAGGACTTGAATAGACACTTCTCCAAAGTATAAGATATAAGAGTGCCCATCAGGCACACGAAAAGGTGCTCAGTATCACTCATCGTTAGGGAGATGCAACTCAAAACTACAATGAGATACCACCTCACTCCCACTGAGATGGTTACTACCAAAAGAACAGAAAGTAAGTGTTGGTGAGGATGTGGGGAAACCAGAACCCTGCACTTTAGTGGGAATGTAAAATGGTACAGCCACTGTGGGAAACTGTGGAGTTTCTACAAAAAAAATTAAAGTAGAATTACCATCACTCAGCCGTAAAAAGAAGTATAGGCTTGCCATGCACCGCTTGATGGACCTATAGGGTGTGATGCTAAGTGAATTAAGTCAGGCAGAGAAAGACAAATATACCATAAGATTTCATGCATACATGGAATCTAAAAAATAAAACAAAAGGAACAAACAAAAAACAGAAACAGACTCACAGATGATGGTTGCCAGAGAGAAGAGGAGTGGGGGGATGACAAGATAGGGAAAGGGGATTAGGAAGTACAGACTTCTGGATATAAAATAATTGAGGCACAGGGATGTGGTGCACAGCATAGTGAAACTAGATGGTAATTTTTTTTAAAGATTTTATTTATTTATTTGACAGACAGAGATCACAAGTAGGCAGAGAGGCAGGCAGAGAGGAGGAAGCAGTCTCCCTGCTGAGCAGAGAGCCCAATGTGGGGCTCGATCCCAGGACCCTGGGATCATGACCTGAGCTGAAGGCAGAGGATTTAACCCACTGAGCCACCCAGGTGCCCCTATAGATGGTAATATTAAAACAACTCTGTTTTGTGACAGACGGTACCTAGACTTATTGTGGTGACCATTTTGTAATGTATATAAATATTGAATCACCATGTTGTACACCCAAAATAAATATAATATTATATGTCAATTATTCCTCAGTTTAAAAAAATTCAGTACCAAAAAAGGGAAGAAATAAATACACTTCTATCTATTAAAAAATAAAAACAGAATTAGCATATGACCCCCAGCGATCCCACTTCTGGGTGTGTACCTAGAAGAGTTGAAAGCAGAGTCTCAAAGAGATATTTGTACACCACTGTTCACAGCATTTTGCACAATGGCTAAAATATGGACGCAACACAGGTGTCCACTGACCAATGAATGGATAAGCCAAGTGTGGCATATCTGTACAATAGGACATTATTCAGCCTCAAAAAGGAAGGGAATTCTGACAGGTGCTACAACATGGGTGAACCTTGAGGACGAGTGAAATATGCCGAGTGAAATAAGCCAGTCCACACAAAGATACATACATACGTATACTCCACGTCTATGAGATAACAGAGTAGCCTCCATCGTAGACACAGGAAGTGGGGTGGTGGGCACCAGGTGCTGGAGTGGAGAGAAAGTAGTTAGTGTTTAATGGGGACAGAGGTTCAGTTTTACAAGGTGAAGAGTTCTGGGGATGGACAGTGGTGACAGCTATATGACAACATGGACATACTTAATACCACTGACCTGTGCACTTAAAATGGTTAAGATGGTGAATTTGACACTATGTGAAGTTGAACACAATTTTTTAAAGAAAGCAAAACCAAAAAGGAACTGTTATTTTTTTTAAATTTTTATTCATGGACCGACCAAGAAAAAAAATCGTCTGCTTACTTTCTCCTTGAATATTTTGATGGGACAGACCCACTACTGTCTGGCACTGGTTGTTGCCATGGAGACGTCTGAGTCCAGACTCATTTTTCTCTCGTAAGTGACTTGATCTTTTTGTCCCTCAGCCCTGAGGGTTATTTATTCATCTTTAAAATCCAGTACCTTTGGGGGCGCACCGAGACCTGCGCCTGCCTCCAGGTTGCTCAGATGTGTTAGAGCGACACAGACATAATCAGCAAATACAATCCCTTCCATCCACTTACGGACATTTGGGACCCCCTGTAGAGTATCCGTAAGTCTTCTCTTCTTTTCGATGGGGTGGCCTGCTTTGTCTTGTGGATTGTAGAAATGCCTCGTCTATTCTAGCCCGCAGGTACTCTTACCTCTTGGAAGGATGCCTTTGCCTTCAGGCACCCAGTGTTTCGTTAGAACTGTTTCATTTGAAAAATCACTATCCGAGTCTTCCCTTTTGAAGTTAACGTTTTTTTTTTTTTCCTTCCCTCTGACTACTTTTAAGGTTTCTCTCCCATCTTTGGTTTCCAGCATTTTTACATTTCTCTCAGGTTTTTTTTTTCCCATTTCTTTTTTTTTTTTTTTTTTTTTTTTTGACAGACAGATCACAAGTAGGCAGAGAGGCAGGAGGAGGAGGCAGGTTCCCTGCTGAGCAGAGAGCCCGATGCGGGACTCGATCCCAGGACCCTGAGATCATGACCTGAGCCGAAGGCAGAGGCTTTAACCACTGAGCCACCCAGGCGCCCTTTTTCCCATTTCTTTAGAAGACGTGTGGTTTGGTTTGGTTTGGTTTGGTTTTTCTTCACCTAGTTTGGGACTTGCGATGGTATTTTAATCTGTGGCTGTGGATGTGTTTGAGTAATTGTCCTCTCCGTTGCTTGTGATGGACTCACTCTCTCTCACTTGGCACTGACCGGAGAGATTACACCTGAGGAGTGAGGGGGAGCTGGAAATTCTGGCCTCATAGGGACTGAAGCCCACTATCCAATGGGGGCGCCTGGGAGGCTCAGTTGGTTGAGCGTCTCCCTTTGGCTCAGGTGATGATCTAGGGTCCTGGGATCGAGCCCCACCTCAGGCTCCCTGCTCAGTGGGACACCTGCTTCTCCCTCTCCCCCTGCTCATGCTCTCTCTTGCTATGTCTCTCTCTCTCTCTCAAATAACTAAAATCTTAAAAAGAAAGACAGCTACACTAACAGACTTAACCCAGATATAATAGAAGGAGTTGGTCCAAAATATTTAGCCCAGCCTGGCTGAATGCTGTGGTCCTTTATCCTTTCAGTTCTAACCATAACTGCTTGCTTTCGAAATAAGAGGAGATTGGTTTTGTTATGTTGCTTTTGGGTTGTACCAAACAAGAAGAAAGAAACAAAAACAAAAACGCAAATGCTCCAAAAAAGGAAACACACTAAGGCCACTTGGGGGCCTGGCAGAAGACTGGAGACAGTTCTTTGACTGTATATATATATATAATTTATATATAAATTAATTTTTGGACAATCCTGTGATTTTGAATCGAAATCCTTCTATGCGCCAGAAACAACTACAGAGGACCTGCTGTTGGAATAAAATAAGAAGGAGATGGAGAGATGAACTTGCACGGGGTGCCCAGCCTAACAGAACAGGTGCGGCTCCAGAACTCAGGGTGCTCTCGCACATTTTTACCTGTGGCTTCTTGGAGCAAACTGCAGGGAACGCCATTCATATAAAATAGCACACAGACAGCGCCGGACTGCAGGTCCAGCCAGGGCCAGTGCTTTTCCCGAGCTAGGGAGAGCCACCGCTGTAAGAATCACCACAGAGAAAGATCCAGAGGCAGCGTGAGCCTGCTGTATGCAGAAGTGCCTGGGCCAAAAAAGAAAGTCAAACTGAGATACATCAAGATCGTGCATTTGAAACCCCAGAGTGCCTGTTCTGCTGGTCCCTTACTTGTGAGATGGTGCAGATGGTTGGCAGGTGGGTGTGGGTTGACACGGGCCGGTGGGGAGGGGTCTGAGCTTACCCCCAGTCCTGGGCGCCCTGCAGCCCAGTCTCGGTGACCTCTCTGCACCAAGCCTGTAGCTCGGGGTCATCCATCACGGCCGCATCACTCCTGTAGAAAAGACCGACCATCCCCTCCACATACCTGCTCCCCAGGCAAGAAAGCCCCAGTCTCAGGTGGCCGACGCAGGACCAGCTGGACCAGTAGCCCCCCTCATTCTCTCCACCAAGCCCACTGGGTCCCCCGCTCCGTGTCCTCCTCACCGGCTGATGACCCCTCACAGTCTGAGGGCGTCTTGGCCGTAGAGAGAAGCCTTCACATCCAAGAGCCTGCGGTCAGCTAGATCGTCAGGGGAGCAGAGGGAACGGTAGGTCAGGCAAGCCGTAGCTCTCTGGAGAATGTCCACATGCCTCCACTGCCCATGCGCACCACCTGAGGGCAACCCCGCAGCACGTACGCCAGGGTCAGCCATGTCCGCTGGGAGGGCGTTCAGGGTCAGACTCCAGGTCCATGGTCCTGCTCAGGCCAAACAACCCTGAGGAAACTTCCACTGTCGAACCCTCTGCCCTCTTCACCTATCCCTTTCCATACCAGATCAAAAATTCCCCATTTGGAGACAAGGTTACTCCAGGCCAGGACGTTGATCTCCATGGTGTAGCGGAAGTGGGGGACCAGGAGCTGATTTGAGAGAGAGAAACGGGACCATGAGAGGGGATCCCAGGATCCGTGAGCGGAATGGAAATTAAAGGACCAGGGATAGAGATGAAGGAGGGAGGGATGGGTCTCCGTGAAAATGAGCGACCTCCCTTTGCATTGGATTGGGTCAGGTTAAGATTTGGAAAACAGAGATGGAGTGACGTCTTCCCAAGTCCTTCCAAGGTCAAGGGTTTTACAGGTTCACTTATTTGCACAGTCTCGCGGTGTCCGTAAGAATGCCAGGGATCTCCTGTCTCACACCATACTGGCTGCCACACTGACCTCCAGACCCGGCTTCCCTGGGACGTCGTTGGCTTCTCAGCAGCCGCTGACACAGATAATCGCGGCCCCTCTTTAACACTCTCTCCTCTCGGCCGCCTTGACATCATGCGTCTTGTTTTCCTGCCCCCTCAGTGGATGCCCCTTCTCTTGGTCCCCATCCTCCTCCACTCCTCCCTCCCAGTGCGTGAAGGCCGGGCGCCCGACACTTCTGTCCTGGCCCAAATTCTCTGCTCTGGCTACAAGCCCCGGACAACTCCATCTAGTACAATGGCTTTCGGTAGCCCTGTGTTCTCACAACCCTAAGATCTGTGTCTCCAACCCTCCCCCGGTCCAGGCACCCCAGGCTCCTGTATCTGACCCGCCTCCGACATCTTCGGGTGTGGCTGTCTACAAGGGCTGGAACCCGCATGTGCCCCAAAACAACTCTCGATTCTGGTCCCCACCGAGCACCACGGCTTTCTCTCATCCCTTCTCCCACCCAGGCCTTCAGTCCGTCACACTCTCCTCCTCAGTCACCCTCCAGAGCCCTCTCCGGACCTCTCCGACGGGAACGTCCCCATCCCTCACCACCCACCTGGCAACCTCCGGAGACCACATTTCAACAGCGCCCTTGTGAGACACACGCTCGCTCCTTCCCCAGGCCTGGGAGCGTGTCCGCATGTGCGCACACGGGCGTGAGTGTGCCTGTCCACGAAGACGGCCACGAACCTCGCACACCACCAGGTTAGACTCCGCGCAGTGCTTCCCCGGGCTCTGAAGGGCAGCCAGATACAGAAGAGACACGGACACGCACCTTGTAGATGGGATGCAGGCTGGGCAGGGTCCGCATGGTGGCCACAGAAATAACCTCCGCCATCAGGTGTCCCCGCAGGAGGTGGGACTGGAGCTGGTGCAGCTGGAAGTCAGAGCTCTGGACCCAGGTCTTGGCCAGCAGCCAGACCATAAGGGGGTCGGAGGGCAGGAACAGCATGGGTGGGGGGCATCCGGGATAAGGGGCTGCAGCTAGAGCAGGGGACAGAGCGGGGGGCTCAGGACCTGTGCGCCGGGGTCTCTTGAGGGGACCCATGTGTGTGACACGCACCTGGAGGCTCTCACCTGGATGACCATGGGTAGGAGTCGCCAGTCAGGCTGGAGTCTCAGCATGACCAGAGGGGCCATCACGTATTGTTGTTTTAAGATGATAACATTAGGCTTGACCCCCTCCAGCAGGGAGAAATCGGCTTCGAACAGAGACCCAGCCTGGAAGGGGGGGAGCAGGGATCGATAAAGGGGTTGGGGTCACTTCTGGACTGGCCTTATTTCCTTTGGGAGCCTAGTCCCTCCCTTCTCTACCCATCAAGTCTTTCCTTTGAACCCCAATCTCACTCCCCCAACCCAAGCCCTGAACTCAGGGTTTCCACGCCCAGGGTCTCCCAACAGAGTTGGGCTCCCTGAGGTGAACTCTCTGGTTTTCCACCATGACCCCTTCCCCCACAGCCAGAGTCCTCCCTGCTACCTCCCTCCGGGCTTTAGCCAGACAGAGCACAGAACAGTTCCGCCATCCTCCCCTCCAAACCCCCAGAAAAACCCCAGCTCTCTCTGGGGCTTTCATTCCGTCTCTCTTCCTCTTTCCCTCCAGAAACCTGAGCTTTTCCCCAAGGCTGGGACACATCTAACAAAGGAATAAGAGGAGGAGATGGTTAGTTCAGTAGCTTCTGATCCGGGTGGGTTTTGCCCCGCCTCCGCCCCTCCCCCCAAGTCTTGGCCCACTTGGCAATGTCCGGAGGCATTTTTGGTTATCACAATGGGCGTGAGGGGTTCTAATATCCTACACGCACAGGACAGCCCCACAAGCTCTCTGGCCCCAAATCTCAGTGTCAAAGCTGGGGGATGCTGAGTGTAGATGGAGGAAGGTGTCAGAGTATTGATGGAGGAAATGGTGGGGCAGTGGGAGACAGAGGCACCATGGCTGGGCTGCTGGGTGCACCCAGGGAGCTCCGCACCTGGAGCTCCTTCTGTAGCTGCATCTTCAAGTCCTCCATCCCTGGAGGCGGCACCAGCCGTGCTGGGAGGCTGGCCGACCGCCTCAGGAGCATGGGGTTTGCACTGTTGAGGAACTGGTACCCAAAGAGCATGTCATCCTTCCAGGAATTTCAAACCCGCTCTAAAGACACCAGCCGGGGAGCATGCTGTGAGCTGGGAGCCCCTCATCCTACTCACAGATCCTCCCCGTTACCCTCTCCCCGTCTTCTCTCGAAGCCCTGGGTTGGAAATATGCACACAGGTTTGGGGAGGCAGTAACTGACCAGCCAGCAGGGTCTTCCCGTGTGGGAACAGTCTTTGGAAATCCTCCAGTCTTCTAACTGGATTGGTGAGGTCCAGTGCCCCCTTGAGCACCAAGCCCTCCAGCCTGTGGAAAGAATGGCAGTGCCAGGAGATCTAGGAACGACCCAACCTGGCATCTGGGGAGCAAGTGCCCACCCTCTACCCCGCACATACGCTCTTGCCAGCGAGAAGGAGAAGTCGAGATCCTTATCCTTGCGGAATCTCTCATTCCTGGGAAGGTCCCACGGCATTCTCCCCACAACAGGCAGGATTAACCCATCTTTCCAGGAGCCCCACCTGGAGGAAGAAGGCGGATTCGGTGATAAGGGGGGGTGGGTTTCTTGGGCTCTGGTAGGGGGATCCGAGGCTTGCTCGGGCTCACCGGTACACCGTCTTCCTTTCCTGGAGTTCCTGTTCCCGGTGCGTCTTCAACAAGCTCTGGTCGTTGCCCACGGTCTGGGCTGGGCAAGGGCACACGAGCACCAGGTCCCCCCAGACCTCGGTCCGCGCGGGTCCCCCCTTTTCCCCTCTCCTGCACCCCAACCCTGCCCCTCTTACACCCCAGCATCCCGGACGCCCTCTTCCGTGCCGCCCCCGTTGCCCTGCCGCCCTCACCGGTGCCCTCGGCCAGGCAGACGACCCGGTTGCCCTGCACCCAGCTGTAGCAGGGGAAAAGGGCCTCGCCCTGGGTTCTGGGGCCGCGCACGGAGATGCAGGTGCAGAACCGGTCCGAGTCTCTCAGGTCTTCGTGCTTGCGCAGCCTCACCAGCAGCAGGCGCCCCAGGTGGACCCGGACGCGGACTTTGAACTCCGTCTGTCGCGGGACCCGTGCGAGCTCAGACGCCGGCTTGCGGCTCCCCCGACCGGCGCGCGGGCGCAGCTGGGAGCCCGGCCTTCCCCGGAGAGACCCGAGTCCGGCTTCAGGTGCCCCCGCCGGATCCCCGCACCAGACGCCCGCCTGCCCCCGCGCCCCGCGGTCTCCGCACCCACCTCGCGGCGCAGCGGCCGCAGCTGCTTCCCCAGGTCGGCCTCCCCGTGCTCGCCCACCAGCCACAGCGGCACCTGGTTGCAGGAAAACACCAGCAGCGAGTCCCCGGTGCCCACGCGGATCGTGTACTTGCCGATCGATCGTGCTCGGACTTGGAGGGGGCCTGGGGGGGGATTAGCAATTTAAAGCGTGTGAGGCCCAGCCCCCAGGGAAGCCGCACCCAGACCAGTGTCCATGGGGCCTGGGCTCCCAGGGTCTCCGCCTCCCACCCACAGGTTCCTTTGCACTTGGATGCACGTGTCCCTGCCACCGGCTGGACGAGGTTTCTCGGCAAGGTGCACCCCACCCTGGTCCTCTTGGAGACACTCCCTGGTGCCAGCACCCGCCCACTCGCTGCCCACCCAAATAGTGAATAAACAGAGAGCAACAGACAGTGGAAAGGAGGGAGGCTGGAAGTGCGGGGGTGTTTTCGGAGGAAAGTGAGTAACCATCTTGACAAAGATCCGGGGCTTTCCACTGAGGACAAACAGGAGATAGTGCCAAACAGGTGCACAAGATGGGCTTGCTGTCCAGACTCCCAGCCCAGAGGGGCAGTGGGGAATTCCCCTTCAACTGCGTCCTGGAACTTCCGTGGGGCTCTCCTGAAGCAGGCTCTTCGGGGCCAGCGCCCTGCCTGAGCACCTGTAAGGGGCCCCACCAGCACCCTCCCACCAGGGTCCATTCCGCCCCAGGCCCCTCCTGATCCTTGGCTCTCCTCGCCCTCCTTGGAGGCAGTTGCTGTGCTCTGCTCGGACCCCTCCAATTTCCTTCTTCCATTGCTCCTTTCTCTCCATCCCTCCCCAGAACTCCTGCTCGGGTGGGCTTGCCTCTCTCCTGACCCTCCTGCTCTATTGTGAACAAAAGGTCTCGGGTCCATAACCTTCTGCTTAAATATTGTTTCTAGTTCTGCACGTTGAATTAGTCCAAATCGCTTGATCCAGAGGGAATCGAAAACCTTAAGCGTTTTGCTTGAAAACGGAACTGTAAATGACTCGCCACCCACAAATGTTTGTATATAGTGCAGGAGTTCTCGAGTGTGGGTCCACAGTAAGAGCTTCCCAGGGTCTTTGCCATGTAAACCACACCCAGATGCGTTCACAGTGTTTAAAAGGGAGCTCAGATCTACGGTTTACGTCGACTATGCTGAGTGAAATAAGGCAACGAGACAAACACAATTACCATACGGTTTCACTCCTATGTGGAACATAAGGAATAGTGCAGAGGACGGTAGGGGAGGGGAGGGAAGACTGAATGGGAAGGAATCAGAGGGGGAGACAAACCATATGAAATTCTTGACTCTGGGAAACAAACAAAACAGGAAAGGGAAGTGGGTGGGGGGAGGGGTAGCTGGGTGACTCAAGAGGGTCATGACTGTTATACTCAACTAATGGATCATTGAACATTATATCAAAAACTAATGATGTACTGTCCCTTGGCTGATTGAATTTAAATAAATTTAAAAAGAAAACAAAAAAGAGCGGGGCTCAAACCTCAAGGTTCTTGTGGGGGAAAGTCTAAATTCAGCGTCTCCCCAGATCTTTAGTCTTCCTCAAACCATTACAGCCGTCCTGTCTGCTGATCATTAACTTGACGGCGATTCTTAAACGATCCTTGATTATAGAGTCATAAAATAGCCAACTTGGTTTTAATAAAAAACAATACCTTTTTGTTTACTCATTTCTTCAGTTTGTAAATTTCACAATTACAATAACATTTACACAGGACACAGCAGTCGGGGCGGGTGTACACACTCTTCTCGGCAAACAGAAGTCTCAGCCGTGGGCATCGAAGTGCCACGTGTGGCAGGAATGAGGCTCCCAGCCACGTGCTTCTAGCACACGGTGGGCCTGTGGGTCTTTGTAGGGGACGCTCCGTGTCGGTCACCTGCTAAGGTGGCTCACCACGGGTGATCTGGAAGATTCTTTGTAAAATCCACCTGCTCTCTGATGCCGCCTTGTCCGCTTCAGCCACCTCTCCCGACACTTGAGAATCGGGGACCACGAGTGATCTCAGCACTCACCACACAACATGTCCACGGAGCTATGTCCGTGCCGTCCCTCGGGGACTGTCTTCTGCAGTCACACTGTTGCCAATAAACCCTTGATTCTTCCTTCCCCCAAGCTGTGAGCCCTCTCCCTCCTCTGCATCGGCTCTAACCCCTGGCCGACTTCCCCTCCACTCTGTAACCTTCCAATGTCCTCGAGAGCCTGAACGTCTCCTTAGAGAACTTTCTGACAGCCTGGCCCCATGTGCCCTCCACCGACCCGACCTCCAGATCCCTGCGTTTCGCATGTCACTTGCCTGCCCATCCGATCACAATTTACATGTCATTTATTGTCACGTAAAACCCACCTGCAGTATGTCACTCTTACTGTGGTTTATCTTTCTTTGAACTTTGTGCTCTCACACATCCTCTGAGCGAGAGCGTGGAGAAATTCAGAGCTTACCTCTGCCATCCACGGCTGGTTGCTTGTGTGGATATGATGGTCTATACAAGTAACGTTTGGTTCTTGCGGCAGGTTTAACTTCACGCTCACCCTTCCTATTGGGAGAACTCCTAGAGCAAGTTCCTTCAGGGCGATATCCCAACGCCATTGTCAGGCTGGACGGATATCCCAACTGCAGTCTCTTGGCTTCTGTCTCTTCATGTAGAGGTACAGGAATCACTGAGCGCCTCCTCTATACCCTGTAAGGACTGCGGAGATGTAGACTCTGTTGACAATGGACCCATCTTCCCACAGGGCAAAATTTATTAAGATTCTTTCAGGCCTTCTTGGAACTCCTTACTAGACTCAAAACTCTCCAGTAACATTCCTTCATTCAAAAGCCTCCACACCAAGAGCAAACCCTATTTTACTCTATGCTGCCAAATCCAGAAGATAAATCATTCCCTGTTCTGAAATGGCAGTGCTCCCTACCCCTGGGGCATCAGAACTCTTCTGGTAACTTTTTTTTTAATTTTTAAATTTTTATTTATTGGACAGACAGAGATCACAAGTAGGCAAGAAGCAGGCAGAGAGAGAGGAGGAAGCAGGCTCTCCGCTGAGCAGAGAGCCTGATGCGGGGCTCGATCCCAGGACTCTAGGATCATGACCTGAGCTTAAGGCAGAGGCTTTAACCCACTGAGCCACCCAGGCGCCCCTCTTCTGGTAACCTTTATTCCACTGTCCTATACGCCAGTGACGGCGCTGGGAGAGTCACGTTCTGCTGGTTTCCCTGCAGCAGCTAAGGACCCAGTAGAAGACAGGTGACACATTTAAAATAGGATAATTAGAGGAGACAACGGATGGAGAGGCAGGGTGTGAGAGAACCACAGAGGAATGCGACAAGATCCTGAACCCATCAGCCCTGAAGCTGCCATCACTAGTGGGCCCGGTGAAGGAAAAGGTGACTAAAACCTAGAAAGAGAAAGTTCTTGGGGGAAGGTTTCCTTGAATGGAGCAATGCCCTTTCGTCAAGTCACACAGCCTACAATGAACTTTTAGGGAGGGACCCAGGGCAATAAACATGCTGACTTCATTCTCCTCCTTCCCTATGACCTCCTGCTAAGGCTCTCCATTGGACAGATCCAGCTAGAAGCCAGGAGGTATGAAAGCCCATTAATTAACCCATAAAAAGCTTCTGCACAGGGAAGGGAACAATCAATAAAACTAAAAGGCAGCCTGTGGAATGGGAGGAGATATTTGCAAGCCACGTACCTGATAAAGGCTAGTACCCCAAATCGGTAAAGAACTTACAAAACTCAACACCCAAAAACCAGATGATCCAGTGAAGAAATGGGCAGAAGACATGAACAGACACTTTTCCAAAGAAGACATCCAGATGGCCAACAGACCCATGGAAAGATGCTCCACATCACTCATCAGGGAAATACAAATCAAAACCACAATGAGGTACCTCTCACACCTGTCAGAACGGCTAAAACTAGCAACACAAGAAACAGCAAGTTTTGGCAAGGATGTGGGAAAAAAGAACCTTTGCGCACTATTGGTATGAATGCAAACTGGTGCAGCCATTGTGGAAAACAGGGTTAAGTGTCCTCAAAGTTAAAAATAGGACTGCTGTAGGATCCAGCAAAAGCACTACTAGGTATTTATCCAAAGGATACAAAAATATAGATTCGAAGGGATACATGCCTCCAACATCTACAGCAGCATTGTCAACAATAGCCAAACTATGGAGAGAGCCCAAATGGCCATCAGCTGATGAATGGGTAAAGAAGATGTGGTGTATATACACAATGGAATATTACTCAGCCATCAGAAAGAATGAAATCTGGGATGCTTGGGTGGCTCCATTGGTTAAGCATCTGCCTTTGGCTCAGGTCATGATCTCAGGGTTTTGAGATTGAGCCCCATATCAGGCTCTCTGCGCAGTGGGGAGTCTGCTTCTCCCTCTCCCTCTGTGCTCTCTATCCCTCATTTGCTGTCTCTCAAATAAATAAATAAATAAAATCTTTAAAAAAATGAAATCCTGGGTGCCTGGGTGGCTCAGTGGGTTAAGCCTCTGCCTTCAGCTCAGGTGGGATCAAGCCCTGCATCGGGCTCTCTGCTTGGTGGGGAGCCTGTTTCCCTTCCTCTCTCTGCCTACTTGTGATCTCTGTCTGTCAAATAAATAAATAAAATCTTTTTAAAAATTAATATTAAACTTGTCATGGTGACTTTGGGAAATTCCACTCCATCCCTACTACAGCAAAATCTTTAGGCAGTGGGAAAACCCTCCAGGTCAAAACAAGGTTAAGTCATATTCAAACAAGGTCATCTGCTGTGAGTGAGACCTAAAAATTTGAGACCATCTCAAGGGAAGAATCTCAGAGTGTGAAACGATGAAGGGGGTCCCGAGTAGTGGTTAAAGGCACAAGTTTTGAGCCAGACACACTTGAGTCCACTTCTGGCCCTGCCTCTAACTTGCTGTAAGATCTGTAACACGTTACTGAGATTTTCAGAGTTCTTGTACACTCATCTACTAAATAAAACCTACAGCACCTACATCTTAGAGCTGTTTGGACCTTAAAAGACTTACCGTGAGCACCGCTATTAACACAATATGTAAGGTTTAATAAGCACTCAACAAATAATAGAGATCATCACTATGCACAAGGAAATGTCCGGATTTAAAGCCAAG